TGGATAATTGTCTTCTCGAACGGCAGAAAAAAACATCCTAACGTCATTACAGCAGAGCTAACGCAGGTTGTTTGCCGTGTACGCGTCTACTGACACAAAAGTGAGACCGTGGCGACACCTACAGGCCTCAGATGGGTCTAGATTCCACCCTATCTGTTAGTCAACTTGACAACTTTTGACGTAAACTTAAAACACGTGTATACGCCACGGAAGGAACATTGTAAATTATTTAGTATTCACTGACTGATAATTAAATGGTCTGCAAATATTTGGTAAAAACGAAGAAAGAAAAAAAATTAATAAATGTAATCCTTATGTAGCACGACAAAATAGTTACCATTTTGTCAATGGATGTCATAGTTTTCTTGTCTTGTCTTTTATTTATTTGAACTATTTGTTTGTTAAAGCAGAAAAATTCAATTAAAAGTGCACTTTACAAGGAAATAAAAAAACCAAAAACTAAATAATTTGTTGACTGAAAATGACATTTTTAAAAAATAGATATTATACACACCAATCATAGCATTGTTTTCAAATAGTTGCGTTTTTAAATACACTCCCAACCAACAGAAAAACAGCATCGTCGAAGAGTTGACCTCCTGTGATTGGCTGAACATTTCCAGTAAACGCACAGCAAGCCTATCGGTGAAGACATTGTTGGTCGTTGTCAGCAACCAACGTACACAATCACACTGCACGAATTGTACCGTACAGTCATTCTAAGCGCTAAAAAGTCGATCAATTTAGTTAATGTACAGCGTTTTACGTGGCGTCTTTGTGAATGTGGTGCCATTATTAACCCTGCTGCTGTATTGTTGAGTTTTAAGAGGTGCTATGAATCTCGGGTAAGTCTGGTTCTACAATCAAAACACCAGCAAGCTATGCTAACACGATGATCTAAACGTGTTAATAAATGTATTATATGCGTAAACAAATGTGTTCGTAAGATAGTATAATAGTATAAATCGATGGTAGTTCTAATACATTGTCATCACCGTTTTATTGGCTGTTAGTTGCATCATATTCTATAGGCAGAATATAGTTCAGCTATGGTTTTCTGACTCAGAGTATGAATAGTTTTCCATAATGTAGGTCATGTTGTACTTCCACAAGAAGTGAGCCTCATCCATGGAAGCCGCCAGGTTGGATCCAAATTTGTCCACAGTGGACAAATCTAACACCGTTTGTGTCAAACAAGCTATACTTGTAAATTGAAGCTTCAGGAAATAGACTACTTGGATTACTGACGGTAGTATTCGGTATCAAAGTAACCATGGTTTGGCAGCCACTGTTAGATCGAGCGGTCAATCCCACGGGGCATGCCCTCATAACACCACCAACTTTGATGACATTGTATTTTATTCGCCTAATGTGAATTAGTGCAAAATGTACAGTGCACGTGTGTTTTGTGTCTTACGTTTACTTTGTGTTTTCAACAGAGATGGTCTACTGTTTGAACTGGAAAATGGAAAACCTAAGTTAATTTTACTAAGTCATGGTGAGACACATCATGTTTTTAATTTATTGTATCGTGGTTTGTAGTTTATACAATGACAGAAATTTTGTTTCACCTTCTCTTTAGGTGTAGAAAAGAGCCACACAAGGGTAAGAATTCTTAGAGTCTGCTGATTTGATTTAGACCTTTACTGATAACGTTAATATTAGTCTGAGTGACTGCTGTGTGCTCACCACACACCTAACTAAATAACATCTACACCCTGCAGCCTCTCTTCAGGCCCAGAGCTGCTAACATCTTGAGCTCCAGGCAGCCATCCTGTCTGGAGGAGTTGCAGGTAGAGGAGCCTCCATCATGGCAACAGACAGGGAGACGTAAAGAGGCCCAAATAAAGACCGTAGTGCCAGCCGCCAGAGAAAGAAGCAGCATTTTGACACCATCATCATCAAAGACGTGTGACAATCACAACGGCAGAATTATTAAAGCGGTGACCAGGGTGAAATCAGACCGACAGAAACAGAGCTCAGCTCCTGGATCATCGAGGTCCAATAAAAGATCAGGAAAGTCTCAGAACACTGACATGCACATCGGTGGAAGTGTGGGACCAAAAGATAAATTGTCCACTGGAGACACCGGACACAAAGAAAGTGTGGTGGTTTTGACAACTGAGCAGCTACAGAAGATTGTCAGTTCTATCCAGACCTCAAATCAGTCCCAGCAGTCAGTGGAGGAGAAACCGCAGGGTAATGTCAGTGGTGATGTTAGCCCAACACTGTGGCAAAGGCACTAGAACTGTTCAAACATTAGTAGAAATCACTATTAAATTAAGCATTGAATAATACTATCTTTTTTTACAAAATAAAACAGGTTTGCAATCTTCCCTATTAAATGGAGGAGATGAGGGAGGGGAGATGGAGGAGGAAGAGAGAGGAGGAGGAGAAGAAATGAAGAAGGGAGACAATGGAGGTGGAGGAAATGACTCTCATGAAACAGAGAGCAGGTAATGACTCCACCTGGAAATGTTCTTATTGATAACAAAATACTGAATGCCTTAGAATGTTCTTTCACATGTAACCCTTTATTCAGTCATGTCACCAATTACCACAATAAAAGAGTGTTTTGTTGAGAACAGGTGAGCTGTTAAAAATGGAAACCAGCCATTTGAGGTCCAACTGAATTTCACCCAAATTGAACAGACAACCGTTGCACAGTCTGCTGTCACGTTGAGCTGTATTATATAACAATAGACATACTGTTGTGTTTCAGGTTGTCAGGCTGTTTGTTCAGCTGGTTGGAGGAGCGACAGTTTGACTGCAGGTCAACCATCAAAAACAAGAAGGCTCAGTGGAGAAAAGAACTTGGTGATGAAATAGTTAAAATAATTTTAACTTTTCTTTACTTGTTTCATTACTAGTTCCTCAAAGTGGGGCGTGGGTGCCCCTGAAGGTGCAGAGTGGCAAATCAGTTTCATTTTAATATTTTCTTTATTTCTGCCACATACAGTGCACTGATACATTTCATACATTTACCACATGACGTTGATGGGGTTTTTTTTTGCCTTTGTGTGTTTGTCAGATGAACAGGTGGCGCTAAAACAGCAACAGAAACGTTCAGCTCCAGACAGATCGCAAGTATGACACAGACTTTTAAACTTTTTTCTTTTTTGTTGATCTTTTTGGTGCTGTAGTAAACAGATGGCTGTGACCGTGGTCATGATTACAACAGGAAGGAAATTATATTTGAATGCAGATTCATTGTTTTAAATATACAGTAAAGGTGTACCTTGTACACAAACAAAGTTTAATCATGTACAACTAAAATATAATATTAATTAATTTTATTAGTCACTGTTTTACGGCAGCTGAATCAAGACAACAACCTTCATTTTAGGGTAGATGATTTGGACGTAGTGTAACTGTATGTGTTTGTGTTTTAGTTTGACGAGAACCCAAGGAGTGTGTTATCGTCTCACAGCTCCCTGAACCAAAGAGAGCCGCCTGCAGCCATCAGATCCAGCCTCAAACTCGGGGTAAAAACCTTAAACTCATGAACCATCAGAGGGAGTGTCCTGAGACACCTTTCTCATATCATTGACAGTTTTATCACCTTGGTGATCTCTAGTGTGAGTAGGTGGGATGTGCAGGGTAGTTTGGATCCACAGAGGAGGGGGTGTGTATAGAGTGTTAATGAAGGAGGCGGGAGCTCTGTGTGTGTGTGTGATGATGTGACATGATAGGGAAAATGATACTTTAACATATCATATGTACAGTATATTCTCTCTCCATCATCATTAAAGCCACTAATAGTTTTCCTGTATTTGCCCTGGTCAACACAAACATGTACCTTTTCAAGATGACACTCACAAATGTACCAATGTAGATCATAGTGTGAAAGTGTTTTGTGTACCTTCATTTCCAAATTTGCTTCCAAAACTCCTGAACTGTGTTGACATCGTAGGACATTACGCCTGTGGAGGAAGTGCTGAGCACTGAGAGGAGAGAAGAGCAGAGGAGACGCTGGCTGGAAGAGCTGGATCGGCAGAGGGAGGAAACAGCTGAACGTAGGAGACGAGAAAAAGTGCTCCAGAGTCAGGTGCAGTGAAGTCCAGTCCAGACTGAAACTAAAACCAGGACCAGTGGTGAGGAGTTCAAACCACCAGGAACTGTCATTGTGTCTCCTCAGGCAGAAGACTCTGATCTCTGGAACACTCACTTTGACTCACTGCAGAGGAGGCCTCCCCTCCACTCCACAGCTCCGTCCGCTCTGTCCGCTCCACCTCTCGCTCCTTCCTGCATGTCAGAGCGAGGAGAGTGGGAGCCTTCATCCAGCCTTTCCTTGGTCTGGGAGGCCACAAGCAGCTGTGGAGCTGAGAGCGTTGCAGACGTCAGTGTAGATATGACTAGCAAATACCCAAGCAGAGCCAGGTAGGAGGGATGCATCTAACCTGAGATCAATGGGCAGATGAGGAGGATGTAGGGAGTGTAGGGATGGGAGTGATGAAGAGCCAGTTGAACAGGTGTGAACTGATTTCAGTAGTTCTTATTAAGCACACTTTGTTTGTTTGTTTGTTTTTTTAGCTACTTGCGGACCATGACGGCTCTGCTGGACCCTGCACAGATAGAAGAACGAGAGAGGAGGAGGCAGAAACAGCTGGAGCAGCAGGTAAAGAGGAGCAGAGCAAACATATTGTTGACAAAACAGGCATGTTTCACATGTTGTTTGGCTCCTCTGAAGATTTAACTGTACCTTCCAGCGAGTGATTGAAGCCCAGGTGGAAGAGCGCAGGCGGCAGAAGGAGCAAGAGCTGGCGAGGAGGAGGCAGGAGGAGGAAGAGGAAGCGAGGAGGATAGCACTGGAGAGGGAGATGCTACGGAGACAGTATGAGCTGGACACGACAAGAGAAAGCCAGAAGGTAACACAGCAGCTTGTGCACACACTTTGTAATTGTGTGTACTCACAGCACCATCAACTGAAGGATAAAACTATTTTCTATAATCTATTGTAAGCACAGTCTGTTTTTTTCCCCCCAGGAGGAACAGAGTCAGTTGGCAGATCAGTCAGGAGGTAACCAGAGTGATGACAGAGTGCAGGAGACCTTGGAGTCCACTGGTCAGTAGGGATGTAATGTAGAATAACAAATACAAAGCCAATAAACACAGAGAACAAGGGAAAAACAGACAAAAGGACTTTCTTGTGTTTGTAGAGTTTCAACAGTCTTTGCTGTCTCCTCAATGGAACTGAGTTTATGACATATTATCCTACAGCAATAACATTACATTAAACCAGACTAAGGGCAGAAAAAGAGGAAATGATGGTAAAAAAAATTAGGGAAAAATGGAAGACATTTAACTAAATGTGCATGTGTTCAACAGTGATGCGAGAGAGACAGCATTTGGAGGAGGATGTGAGAAGTTCAGACCCTCCGTACAAAGACACTGCAGTACAGACAGGTAACTCCAACTACTGTAAATAATAAAACAGATATATTGGGTTTTTTTTAACCTAACTAAATATTTTCTGTATGATCTTGTAGCTGCTGTGACATCTGTGTACATGAATCTGTGTCATGTTTTTTTTCCTGTATAGATGCAGCTGCTTTTTCTGGGATCAGAGAAGAAAGCGGTCACACTGCTAAGGTCTCTGCACAGCTCCAGTCACACGCTGCTCCAACAAACGGTAAGAACGCAGCCCTGAAGATGGGCAAGGAGAACATCTGTCAGCCAGGAGGAGGGGACCCATACGAACAGTTTGCAAGAACGGACAGGAGCAAGAAGGACAAGAAGCGGCCTGAGTGGAACACACAAAAGTAGGAGCACAACAGTTTGGAGTAAGTACCAGACGGATACCTGCGGATTTGTGGGTTAACCCTGATTCTGTTCTCCAGGCCCAGCCGTCGTTTTGTTCCTGCCTCCGAACGTTACCCAGCCACTCTGCAGAGGAACAGACTGGACAGTCGACTGAAGCGTCAGGCTGAGCTCAAAGCCCTGCAGGAGAGGACATGTACGGCCAGAACGGAGCCTCCTGCCGCTCCTGCTCCTCAGCACAACCACCCTCGTCTGTGCTCCAGCAGCACGCAGGCCAGAAAAGGACCCAACAGTAAGGTAAGAAAATACCTTGTCATGTAGGAGATGTTTGATGCTCAGCAAAAGCGACACTCACATTTTTCTCTTCTTTTCAGATTGAGAATAGACAGAACTCTTCTTCAGACAGCAGCAGTGAAAGGTTTGTACTTCATGTAATTTCTATTGGAGAAAATACTTTACTATCTCTATAGCCAATGTGACTTAGAATGTGCTCTTAATCAACAGGTGTTAAATAGAATCTATGGTGACACGGCATGGTTTTAAACTCACTCTTCTGTCTTGATGTTATGCCCACCTGGGGGCGCTCTTCTTCCATCAGGCACCGACTGCAGAGACAACAGGCTGCGGATCCTCTTCCTCCTCTGGTCCAAGAGTTTGTTCCCTTCATTAGAACGGATGAAGTCACGCTGGACCCTCTTGAGGCTGATGCCAACCTGTCACCACAGACACACACTGACACAGGTCAGACAAAAATCAACATTTACATTTGTGTTTTTTAAAATACATATGCAGACATTATAAGACAATGACTAAAATGACTCGTCGACTTCAACTTATTATCAGATTATTGTCAGACATGGAAAAAACAGAAGCCGTTAATGCCCCGGCGACTCACATATCTTCATAACATGTCCTTCTTTCAGACGCTCCTCTCCCCCTTCCTCCTCCTCTGAGGTCAGAGTCTCCTCCCGCCTCCTCACACCCAGACTCGGAGCGGCAGCTTTGTAAAACGCACACGCAGCGACAGCAGGAGATCCTGAGAGGCCTGGCTCAGCTGCGGAAGGTAACAACAGGAGCTGTCCTCCCAGGACACACTCGGCACATTCTGACCCGACTCTTAGCGAACACTACTGTTACAACAAAATCATATTCAAAAAGTGTCATTTATGGCCAGAGGGCAAAGAGCAGTACATTTTAAATAAAGAATAAGCGAGATATTTTATGTATCTTAAGAAGTTTCTAGAATTTTTGGCATGAGAGCTTTGAAATCTCAACGTTTATGGTGAATAATTTCTGGACAGTTCTGATGTCATTGTAATGTAAAGGTTCTTTTGTTCCCAGGGTTTGTTACAGAAGCAGAGGGAGTTGGAGACAGATCTGAACCCTATGTTTAAGAAGCCGTAGTCGCCATCAGTAGGACCTGCAGACCCCATGTCTAACCCACTGACGGAAATGGGTGACATGTGACTTTGGTGTGTAACAGTGTCCCAAGTTAATGCAAAGCATTAATGGGATCTGATAGTTTTTGTTTTTGCACACACTTACAGTGGACTGGTGTTCTGTCACACAGTGAATGGTTTAAGTGAAAAACTAGTCTGGATTAACCACTTTAAGAAACCACTTTAGCTGGCAGGAAGTGGAGCTGGTAGTTTCAGGAAGATGGGGTGTTAAACTGATTGTATGAAGTCTGTGGAATTTTATTTTCAATTACATTTTAATTTTGGTTTCAATGCACTTACTGGGAGACGCTTCTTCTCTAAAATCTGGGTTTGTTTCCTAAAGCTTCCTGCAGGTCCAGGAGCCTAGTGCATGAAGTACGGTTTCTGTTCATCTTACCGTTATTTATTTTGCATGTAATAAATGAATGTCAATAATAATTGGACACTTTGAATAAAACTGCTTTTGTGTAAATGTTTACTAAAAAAATAAAATCAATTTAAAAAATTTAAAAAATATAGTTAAGGATAAGTTTGGTGAGTTTTATTTCCAGAGTCTAGATCAGCGATTCCAAACTACTTTGCCGCGGTTTTAATTTTAATTGTCTCACCACAACAAATCTCATCATGATCAACAATAAACAAAATATTTTTCCACAGCACAGCATGATGCAGTGTATTTGGAAAAAACACTGTAGCCAGGATTGGATTATACAGCAAAGTTTAATATAAAACAAATTTCTGATGTAAAAAAAACAACATAAAATGATTTTTAATTTAAAACCACTGTTAGAATCACTACATACAACAACACAAACAATTCTCAGGGTAACCAAACGAACATTTAGAACAAAAATATCTTTATATATATTTTTTTACAAGAAGACTAAAGTGTCCACTGGAGGGCATGTCAATTTATTTCATTATTTGACATAAGATGCATCAGTGGACTTGAAGAAAAAGTCATTTTCTGGAGCAGTTCACCCATGTGGTTTAACCTACATCCCATTAAAGCCTCCTCTCTGCCCTCCTCTGTACACGTTGCTGCCCTGAGCTGTAGGATTGTGGTACATCCCCGAGACAGTCTGAGGGAACCCCCAGGTTAAGTTAGTGGCACCTGCAGACCTAAGGCCACCGGCCCACACGGGCGTGGGTCCTACATGGCCCCTTGTCCTGCCCAGTGCAGTAAGTGGCCTCAGCATGGGAGCTACAGCGAGAGGCTGGCCAGAGTAATGTGACAGGAGATGGGGGGGTATGTAGCTGCTGCTCCACTGCTGCTCCTGCTGACGACGGTGAAGTAAAGGTTGATGGTGTTGTGGATAGGACTGCCACTGCTTTGCCTGCAGATTCTGCTGCGTCTTATGGCTCCATTGTGACTGGGAAATAACTGGTATTGGTTTGTCGTCCTGACTGGTTGGTGCCGTGGCACTCCCACTGACATTTTCAACAGGTCCAGATTGGGCTTGTGCTTCTCTTTTTGGCTGTTCTTGTTCTGACCGGGTGTCTCTACAAAGGGAATAAATGATGATAAATCAGAGCAGAGCGTGATCTTTCACAATTCACAAAATATACATGTATAATTTTCATAATACTGCAAGTAACAATGTTCTTTGTATAGAGATGTATTCACAAAACTGTCTCTCCTATGATTCAATCCTGACATCTTTTACCAAAACGTTTAAAAGCTTTCTTTAAATAATGTACATACATACAAATATATACAAATAAATACACGTTTGTTTTTACTAACCTTGCTTTGTCGACTCCTGTAGGGCAGGAGACGGTACTACAGGTGGCTGCACTAGGACATAAATCCTGGACTTGAACTGTTTTTATTGTCTCTGCATTTGTCAGGTTTCTGTCCCGTGTTGTTGTCACTGCAGTTTTGTTCTTACTGAATGAAGAGGTAGATGTGTTGCATTGACTGGGACTTTGATTTTCTTCTGACAACGTTCCTCTCACCAAGGGACCGTCTCCTGAGTCTCCCCGACCGTCAGTGCTTTTTTTCTCCCTTTGCTGTCCCTCCGTAGACTTCACTCTGACCTCCTCCTCCTCCTTTTCCTGTAGTTCCTCCTGCAGCGCTGAGTGGATAAAATCCAGAGTAGCAGCAACAGCCTTCCTGCTACGTGTACCCTGGGCCGACTTAGTGGGAACTCCTCGACTTTGAGGTGGAGTATTAGAGTGACTGCTGCCTCTGCTAACTGGATTGGTTGTCGGGCTTTGTGGAAAGTCCATTTTTAACTCTAGCTTTGAGTCCAACTGCTGCTGCTGTTGTTGTAATCGAGCCTGACGCTCGGCCCGTAACTGTGAGATGGCCAGACTCAGAACCTCGAAGTCCGTGTCTGACGGCTGAGGCATGACGTCCTTACAGGAGGCGTCTGGGACGAGCTGGTCAGAGGGATGAGGTTGTGATAGGAAGCCAAAGCCAGGCTGCAGGAAAAGATGTTGGTGTTTCTCAACTGAGGCAAGAAGGTGTTTGTGTTCTGGGAAAATAGAGGGCGAACATTCAGAGCCCAACCCAGGGTCACTGGGACTCAGCTGGCTGTCGAGACCTGAGGACAAACATGTCAACAGAGATGTCAACAGAGATGTGTCTCCAAGAAAGAAAAAGCTATAGGACGAGACAGAAGAGAGGGATTGACAGAGATGTTGATGCATGTTCTCTAGGAGCTGCAGCAGGAGGAGTTTCGGACCCATTTATACAAATGAATGATGAAATAGAAATGATGCTACTGTCTTAGAATGACTCATCTTAAAACTATTGTTGTATGCATGAGAAGCAGTGCGCTAAAAAGGAGAAGGAAACATTCTGTAATCTTATTTTAGAGGTCTGGTAAACACAGACCAACCTCTGTTAAAAGAATATGTTCATAACAGCTGGCAGCCAAACCTCCACCCATGCTGCTGCACAAGAATCTCAGCAGCATTTTAATCACAGTGTGACTGTTTTTTTCTGCAAGAATTAAAACTTCTGATCTTGTGAATTCAGACGGCGCTCAGAGCCTTGATACACTTATATAACAAATGACACCAGAACTACGGCACAAAATATTACACATGGAGGTAACAATGCAGATGAAAAAGTGAACAGGATATCCATGAATCATTCAGGGATCATAATGTACACAAACACATGGAAACATTAAAGACATAAGATTACAAGAAAATAAAACTTGTACTTTCCTAATACTCCAAGATTACTTTAAAACCAACTAACGGCTGATTGTTTTTATGTGCAAAGACATCATACATACAGGAAGTGTGTCATCACTACAAACTCTTTTGTTACAAAAAAGTCCACTAGTAATGTGGATAAACTGGAAACACTGTTTCTGAACACAGCTTCTGATTCCAAACATTTTCCTATCTGCCCTTCCCCCACCATCCCCATATAAACATGTATAGAATGGAGGTACCTTGACTCCACAAGCGTCTGCTAAACAAAAATGAAATACAATTGATTAACAGCGCTCACATTTCTATGTTAAAAATAAGTAGTTTAAGTAGATGTTAGAGAAAATCTTCGTGCCTTATGATTAACTAGTAGTGAAAGTATTGTATCATAAAAGTGAAGCTTCAAGAATGGAAAACTACTGAGCATTTGTGTGACAAAGAGTTGAACTGACTGGGTGATTGTGTGACAAATGTAGCATGGCAAAAAAATAATAGTATCTTTCCTGTTGTTAAAGACAGGGCAGAACAGCCTGGCAGCTGGGGAACAAAACAACTCCCTACAGTAACAGTAACTGTTGAGTTTCAGGACGGGGGCCCCAGCAGCAGAAATGGAGTCAGATCCCAAGAAGGACAAGTACATCCAATCAGAAGTGGACAACGTTTGCGTAGCTGGTCAGAGCTCGTGAACTGACGTCTTAAGTTGTTTGTCAGGGACTCGTAGATCTGACCAAGAACCTCTGGAACTGCCACCAAACCAGCATCAAGGATGTGGGCCCTGAATCTATAATCTATGAAAGTTTAACTTTTTGAATAGAATTATGGAAATAAATAAACTTTTCAATGATATTCTAATGTTTTGGAAAGGGTCTGTATATCGGGCTCGTATGAACCCACAGGTCAACAGCTATGGATGGTCTGCATGTATTACCATAACAATTCACTGCCGTAGTTTTACACCATCTTCTTGCCTATACTTACTTTCTAATCACAACATTTTGACTCAACTTACCTTTGGATGTCAACAGGGTGTCCAACACTGGTTGCCTGTCCTTGATGTTATGGTAACCCACCAGTCTGCTGAAATTGTGCAGGGTTTCTTCAACACCAGCCACGATGATGCCACCACTGATATAGTTTGGGGAGTTATTAAGACAACGTTCTGAGGAGAACAAACACAGCCGTTCAAATAGGTTTGACACTCACGAAATGATGTGTCGCCGATGTTGACATGAGCTTAGATCTGCTGCATACCAGTCAAGAAGATGGTGTGTCGGTACTGTGTATAACGAGCTTGGAGCTCGATGACACAGTCCAAGTCAGGTGACTGGTGGTCTGCCATGTCACAGTGATGATATGGAAGGAACTCAACAATCTGCTGTTTCTGGTAGACAGACAGAAGCTCCAACACATTTGCTGCTTCTTTTCGGATCCTGGGATCATTAAAACAAGAAAGACAGGAACGTCAGTGCAATTTCCTGTGGGAGGTGCCATCATCATGTGTGGACAAATTTGTTACCTGGCCAACTCTTTTAATTTCTTGTGGGTTTTGCAGTGAATCTTCCATTTCCAAACACTCTCCAGTGAGTTTTGTTGTTCTAGGAGCTTCAGCAGTTCGGCCAGTTGACCTGAAGATCCACCTCTTATTAATCACTCACTTTTCAAAAAGAGACAGTTGTGTCTTTTAACTTGACACAACTGGAGCTGATTACTTTGGTCAAACTTACCCTCACTGACGACATCTGGATCAAATATCAACTCGTCTGAAATGATGCAGCCGCCGGACACAAAGATCTCGTTGTAGCTGTTGTTCTTGATGTCATCCAGAGAGTCGATTCCCACAAACAGAACAGAGGAGCGTCGCTTTAGGGAAACCAGGTTGGGGATCTGAAGTGTACACAAACCGCAACTTTCGTTAAAAAAAAAAGCATAGAAAAACGATCCTTTTCCATGCTACACTATTTAGATTCAAGGAAAATTCTGAAGAACAAGTAGAGAAAAAAGCTACTTTACCCTGTGTATGTGCTCAGCAATATCTTTGTTCTTAATGATGACCATTAGCCTGCTGTTTGATTTTTCTTGGTTCAGAAAGGCCACAGGAGTCTGTTCCACATTACCCTGTTTCAACAAGTATTGCTGCAAAACAAAACAAAAAAATGTATCGACATTTTTTTATTCCTCAAAGTAACAAATATTTCTGTACTGTAGTGTAAATTAAATTTGAAGTTACCTTCACATCCACAAAGACCTGGTCCACGGGCTCGGTGCTATGTATGTAGAACTGCAGGGAGTTCTTTTTGACATCTTTGATGATCTTTATCAAACTGCTAAACACCTCTGGCTCCAGAGTGTTGATCAGTGAATTCAGTTTTGTGGGTTGTGGGGCCATGGCCTCAGAGGCAGAGACAGAGTCGGGATCAGAAGGTTCTGCTGAGGTCTTGGGGACAAAGCTTGACACCGGGACCTCAGTGTGTGGCACTGTACAGTCGAGGGTCTTGATGAAAATATTGCCCGCTGTTTGTCTGACATTCTGAGCGAATGTTCCGCTGAGCTCTAAGGTCCGACTTGGGAAATTACCGGACGGAGGACGGAGGTGATGGATGTCACGGGGCTTGTCGGACAGAAAGGTAGGGACAGTTACAGTGAGATCAGTTGGAGACTGCCTGCTGTTTACATCAGGCTGCTGATTTTTCATTAGATCCGATCGCCACATTTGACCTCCTGTGGAGGGAGCAGACGTGCCTGGAGCAGAAGAATCATCACATCTCTCTGTATTAATGTTCGCTGCTCGGATGCTGGAAACATAAGCACTGACTCTGCTGGCTAACACTGTGTCAGCCTCAGTGTGGGCAGGGTCATGTGTCACGTTACCACCAAAATCTGTCATCATGCTTTTAATGCCGTCCTTTAGGGAACTGACGTAGTCCTGGACTGTAGGACAGTCGTGGTGTACGGATATGTAATGTGAGAATGAAGTGGTCAGGCAGTGTGGAGACAGTGTGTGCTGAGGTATAGAGGCCTCTGCGTGAGAAGCTGTGTGTGGAGTCTGCGAGAAGCTGCAGGGAATACTCTCCTCCTGCAGCAGCAGCTGCATTTCAGAGAAGAAGTTGTCAATATTTCTATCCACGATGCTGTCGATGTCTCTGTGAGGCTGTGCAGACTGAGAATATGTAGAGCCAGCAACATGTTTCCCTTCTTCTCCCTTGGTTTCCTCTTTGTTGGTCACCTCAGCTCTGAAGTGCACCTCCTTGTCTTTACCCGTTTTATGGCCCACAGCAGCTGTTTCCTTTTGCTTGTTCATCACCTGCTGATTTTTGTTTGCATTTATCTTTTCCCTTTGTGGGTATGGCTTGTCCTGAACAGAGAGGGTGGATAAGGAGCTTGGCTTCTTCTGTGCAGCGTGAATAACAGATGATTGGACGGATTTGAGAAAGGATGGCTCCGTATCGACTGTGTCTTTTTCCTGAGGTTCCTCTTGTTTGTCTTTGGCTGTACCTTCAAAACAAATGGACAACATGAAAAAGCTAAACATAAGAAAACACAGAAAAAGCAAGACATGAATTCCAGTTAGGTGAAACTTATAATGAATAATTTAAAAGAATCTGTTTTATGATTCCCTCCAAATTCCCTCCACTGAGCAGCTATTTTCAATTTTTACGTTTGAGCCCCAGAGCCAAGAAGGACAGAATGTTTGTCATTACAATGTACAAACTGAACAGCCATTGTTTCTTTAATCCAAGACCACTTGTCTACGGTTACCTGTAAACTCTCCAGAGGATGTGGGAGGTGGAAACTCCTCATTGTAACTGCTGTTAATTGTGATTAGGTGGTTGTGCTCCATGGGCTCTGGGGAGTGGCACTTGGACGGGGATGAAGGAGGTCTGAGCTGGAATGTGGAGGAGGTGGAAAAAGGAGGAGGAATAAGCCGTGGAGATGGACAACGAGTGGGTGAGGCCGATGGACTCGGCTCGGGTGAAGGGCACTGAGATGGAGAAAGGGGAGGACTGGGCTCTGGAGATAGACACTGGGAGGGGTGAAGAGGAGGGCTAGAGTCAGGTGACGGGAAATGAGAGGAGGAGACAGAAGGTTTCGTATCTGGGAATGAACCCTGTAAGGGCGAATCAAGGGGGCTGGGCACAGGAGATTGGGCGGGGCTCTTCCTGTGGGGTTTGGTTGTCATGGTGATGTTTGTTTCCACCCTGAGGCGCTGGAAGCGAGGGTCCTGAGGGAGGATTCTGTCTTTTTGAGGGTATTGCCTTGAACCCAGACCTGCAGACGGAGTTCAGAGGAAACATTTTCCCCATTGTTTTATGGTTACAGTGACATTTGTGATCATCAGTAAAGCTACAGAATGATTATCTGCTGTGACGAACATGACATCAGCCCAGAATGTTATCAGAACATTGTTAGAAATTCTGTACCAAAATTGAACCTAGTGTTGCACGTTATAACAACACAGTCAGACAAACAAACCTGTGATGGGAATAAGGACCCAGGGGATTTCCCACTCTTCTTCATCTTCTTCGTATTCACCTGCTCCCTTCTTTTCTCTCCCGCCTGCTGCTCTGTGCAGATTCATCTCCCCACTGTGTGAGCCCGGGCTGAATCCCTCTAAACTGCTTACACTGTCTGCTGTTTGCTCCTAAACACACACACAAAACACACCAGATGTATAATCAATATATTTAATGAAGAAATAATTAAATTAGAAAAATGCCACAGCATCTGTGTTAATCAGTGTTTTCAGATATCCTTCTCCTAATGGTTTAATAAATGTACCTCCAGCTCCTCCTGTTTCCTCAGGTCAATGTCACAGTTCGCAGGAAGGCCCAACTTTGTGGCCAACCTACCAAATGGACAGGATTCCCTCTGATCCTCCTCTTTACTGGTCAGTCTGGAGGCATCCTGACTCAGGCCTTTAGATTTAGACAAAAAAAAAAAAAGAATATTTAGAGATTTTGAAAAATGCTCCAAAAAGTCACTATTTTTAGAAATTGCAGTCACCTGTCAGCAAGTGGAGAAGTTTGACAGCCGGCTCAGATCCACGTTCCCTTAAATCGCCTTCCCTTAAACCCAGAGAGCCAATCACAGACTGAAGAGAGTAAGGAGTGGTGGACAGTCTGTCCTCAACTGGCAGCCAGAAACAGGAAGAAGAAAGCATGCTAAAAAATGAGCCACTCATGCGATAGAAGAAAATCAATGTTCTCTCAGTATGTGTAATGATGTAAAGCAGGGCAATAAAAAGTGTTGCTTATTGAATTCTATTGGCTTCTAATTTGGTCATTAACTGAATCTTCGCCACCTTATTCCATTACCTGGAATTTTGTGGTGGCCTGCAGGTCCATGAGCTGCCTTCAGGAATTTAATTGCCCTCGCTGCTGCCCGTTGCTCCAGCTTCCTCTTTCTCCCCAGTGTTTTGAGCCCATCTAGTCTTTCTTCTCTCTTCACCTCGTTCTCTGCATTTCTTTTACAAGTTAAAACCAGGTCTAAAAGCTGCTGAATCTGGGGGAACAAACACATATTTTAGCTTAGCATATATATACTGCAGTAATTTTCCTTGCACCCACCCACAAAAGGAACACACCCATAACAAAGACCTTCGTACATGTTCTCACCTTTTTAGAGTTCATCTCTCCATCTCCTGTTGTGCCTGTCACCTCCTCCTCCTCTGCTGTCTCTCCTTGGCCTATGCAACTCTTTCCGGGTCGGACCAGCAGCTTCTCCTCTGGGCCACAGTGCGTCTCTACCACCTGCCTGGCCCTGGCCGCTGACAGCAGGTACATGGCCGGGTTGGTCAGGTAAGAACA